ACGATGCTCTTCTCCGCCGCAAGGAGGGACTTCTCGAGGAGGTCGACAGTGAGAGTGGTGGGACAGACTGAGAGGAAGTGGTCCCTGACTACGCGAAGGGAGTCAGGGAGGCGTGTGACTATGTAATAGAGAGTGATGTACATGGGGGGGGGGTTCTTGGCGCAGAACTCAGCAGGAAGGGCGGCGCGGTAGCGAGTGTCACTAGTGCGGAGGTGCGTAATGAGGTCAGCGACAGTGGGAAAGGCAGCAAGGTCAGGAAAGAGGTACGGTAGCATGAGGCGGCTCAGGGCAGCAGTGGCAGGGGAAGAGTAGCGCGCAACTACAGCGTCGTACAAGGTCTGAGCACTCTTGTACTGACTAAAGTGCGCGCGCTCAGTGGTAGGCAGGTGGCGACGCACAGCAAGACGTGCAGCAGCATCGCGGGTGGCCCACTGAGAGCGAACAGTGGGGTCAGCATCAGCAGCAGGGGCAGGAGAGGCGCCAGAGGTGAGGTCAAAGAGGGAAAGACCGTCCGCCCTATCGCACTGTAAGAACAGCTGCAGGTCGTCGACCCAGACCTCAAAGTCAATGGCTCGACCCTCAGCGTCAAAAGCGAGGACACTAGGGGTAGCCATGACGACGACAGTGTAGTAGTGCAAGCAGTAGGGGAAGGGCACGCAGTAACAGTGGTGCTGTGCTCACCAGGCAGGGCAGGTCGGGCGGCTCGGCAGTAGGGCGGCCCGGCAGCTGGGCGGCTCGGCGGCTCGGCTGCTGGGCGGCTCGGCTCCCGGGCGGCTCGGCGGCAAGGCGGCTCGGCGGCAGGGCGGCTCGGCGGCTCGGCTCCCGGGCGGCTCGGCGGCAGGGCGGCTCGGCGGCAGGGCGGCTCGGCTCCCGGGCGGCTCGGCTGCAGGGCGGCTCGACGGCTGGGCGGCTCGGCTGCTCTGCTGCTGGGCGGCTCGGCTGCGCTGCTGCTGGGCGGCTCGGCCGCTGTAGAGGAGTGGCGGGGCCGCTGCAGAGAAGGGCGGCGGGGCCGCTTGATAGGGCGGCGGGGCCGCTGATGGGGCGGCGGGGCCGCGAGGAAGGGCGGCGGGGCCGCGCGATGGGGCGGCGGGGCCGCGAGGAAGGGCGGCGGGGCCGCTAGATAGGGCGGCGGGGCCGCGCGATGGGGCGGCGGGGCCGCGAGGAAGGGCGGCGGGGCCGCTAGGTAGGGCGGCGGGGCCTCGCGATGGGGCGGCGAGGCCGCGAGGTAGGGCGGCGGGGCCGCGCAATGGGGCGGCGAGGCCGCGAGTAAGGGCGGCGGGGCCGCTAGGTAGGGCGGCGGGGCCGCGCAATAGGGCGGCGGGGCCGCGCAATAGGGCGGCGAGGCCGCGAGGTAGGGCGGCGGGGCCGCTAGGTAGGGCGGCGGGGCCGCTAGGAGAGAGGCGGCGGGGCCGCGAAGACGGGCGGCGGGGCCGCTGAGACGAGTGGCGGGGCCGCAGTGAAGGGCCGCTAGGGCGGCTCGACGAAGTGAGGGCCCGGAGCGCGACTCGGGCTGAGCGCGCTTCGGGCAGGAAAAAAAAATCGATGTGGTGGGCCCTAAGCACAGTTCCCAAGGGGGAACCTGCTCGATACCATGTGAAAATTTGAACAAGAATGAATGAACTATGAATGAAGTGAGTACACATAGGAAACCCTAATTGGGTTGTACCCCCTATGGGATACCCCACTATAGCCTACACAACAGCATAAGCTATATATATGTTCTGACAGCTGTCTTCAAAATAAAACCAACGTCACTTCCCGTCCATATACTGTACCCACACAGGCAGGTTCGGGTAGATTACATGCGTGGTTCGGCTGCCAGCTGACACAGGGTAGCGAATGAAATTGTGAGTGTGCAATTTCTTGACGCCACGTCGCTGACCATAACCTGTGGTCGAATCTGTTCAAGACACGTCGCATCCCTTGACCTGTACTGCCCCTCGCTACCCCACCCCATCCTTCATGCCTGCTCCAACCATGCGTTTGTCCCCAGCTGCACCTTCAAGAGTCTCGCTGTTCATTTCTTGATTCATTCGTAATCCTGTCATACGTTTCTCCTCACTCTCTTAGCTCGAATGCCCGCGTCGCGCGACTGTCTCTTCCTGTTTTATTTTCCCCTGCTGCTTCTATGGTTGCAGTCTTATCATATATCCCGTCGTCAGCTTCTCACAATAAGAATTTCCGTGGCTTTTTGCGTGTTTCTCCTTGTGTCTTTCAGTAAATATGTTGACAACTCGAACATGGCGCGTCAGGCAGCACTTCGACCCGTAGGCGCTGCCGTGAAAGAGTATGTCGGTTATACCTATCGTCATGCTGTCGTACACTTTCTCTTGGGTTTCTTGTTTTGTGCGTGTTCCCCCTGTGTACGTTTTCATGAGTCTCTTCAACCCTCAAAAAGGCGCGTGAGGAAGCTCTTCAACGCATGATTTCCGACATTGTGAACCAGTAAGTTGGTTTAGATATCGCCTTTCCGTCAGTTTCATTTGTTTGTGCCAGCAGTGTTCGTGTTATCATGTTAGCAAGTCTGTCAGTGATCCCATAAAAGCCATGGCTGGTTCAGGGATGTTGTTGAATTTGTTTGCAGATAGGTACCTTATTAAGAGACACTCTTCATCTTCACGCAGCAGCAGGTGGGATATTTAGTCCCTTTGACTCATGCTGCCGTCATAACTAACAGTTGCGCTTTTTGCAGATTTGCAGCTTGTAACAAGTTTTTTTTCTTACTATGAAGAACGTTTCCACCAATAAGGATGACTTGTTTGCTTGCGTAGAGATGAGTGCATGTCTCTTATACTGGATTAAATTTAGCTGTGAGAATGCAGGAATGTGCAGATGTCAAAATATTTCTGATTTGTAAAAACATTTCAGTCATTACAACAAAATTATGATATTTTTTGGGCATTATTGTAGAAGCTTCTAGCTAATACGAAACAAATGTTATTAAACAATATTTGATATTATGAATACTTCGTATTTGTGATTATAAACGACTGGATCTTTATATTGGTTTAACAATTGAAGTGTTCTTTGGTTACCGTCTTGGTTACATTCATTTTCTGGACCAATCAAAACGACCCTCGCCAGTCGGGTGTGCGCGAACTGTGTTCAGTTCGTGCTCACCTCTGGCCCCGATCTGTAGGTGACCTCGTAGGTCACATCGTGGGCATGAGTTTACGTTGAACCATAGCCCGAGTAGCACCTCGGGGTAACCTACTAGGAGGTTACCTCGCGGTAAGTTTAGGGTTAGCTCAAGCTAACATTTCGGGCCCACAAATTTTGAGACGCGGACAGTGATATGGAGCAGTCGATTCTGACGAGTGCCACACCGGTAGCTTCCGGGAGGTGAAGAGAGAAGGAGTTTCGTCCTTCATTGCTTCCCTCACGCTCTCCCTCGCGCTCGCTCCTCCACCTGTCCGCGTTTGCCGCACCAGCTTCAGCTCCCTCGTTGCCCTCCCGAGCAATAAACTGATTTGCAACGGCGGAGATGTAGAGATCGTGAAGCTGGGGGGCGAGGCAGGAGACGAAGCGGAGGACGAGGGGCGAGCAGGCGGAGAGGGAGAGGTGGAGGCGACGCAGCGCGGGGAACAGCCGGTCCTTTTGTGACGACAACAACCTCTTGTCATTCTCCGAATGGTCGTCGGAATTCAACTCTTCCATGATTGATATTAGCTCCCACATCTCGCCCACCATTATCGCATCGTTGCAGCGGTGCCGTGCCAACTCGTTCTCATCGTCCGATGCAACGCCGTGCTCCAGAAGCAGCGACTCGAGGCGTGGCGCTTGCGAGAGGGAGTAGAGCAAGCGCGGAGGGGAGGGCTGGCTTCGAGAGAAGTAGAAATCGATGGAGGTGAGTGAAGAGAGGGACGGAAACAGGGAGGATCGCATAAGGGAGCTAAAGAGGCGCGGAGGTGCACGAGAGAGTGAGAAAATGAACTGGGAAGGGCTTGCGTGCTGCTTGGTCAGCCATGCGAAGCTGCGGATTCGTTGCGCGACGGAGACGGAGGAGGGCGGGCACTGGCATTGTTCGTCGAACACGAGCGGTGCGTCTGAGTCGCCCGCCGAGGATGAGAGCGCGAGCGCGCGTCGAATGCACGGCATGGCGATGGCGCAAGCCACGAGCGGCCATGAGCACGTGCACTCTTCTCTGAAAGCTACCGCGTTGGCGATGCGCAGCCACACGTCCGCGGGTAGGGCGCTCACGTCCCCGTAACGAGTCTCCGCCACGCCCCGTGGCTGTACCATGTCGAGGGCTCCCCGCATGTGTACCGCCGTGTGTGCTTCGCATTTCGATCGCTTTGCGCGAGGTGGGGTCAGATCGGACGGCTCATTCTCTACTCGCTCCTCCTGCTGCTCAACCTCCACCCCCTCTTCCTCTTCTACTTCCTCCTCCAACTGCTCACATGCACTAGTGCTCCCCGTCACCTTCATCCCATCTGTGTTTTTCTCCCGCTAGCCGTATCCCTGTCTTGTCAACAACCGTCGTCACACCATCGATGTGTTTCGCTTGCGCTAACAGTTAGTACCGTGCAAGAGATGTCGACTATTCCCAATATCATCCGCCTGTGCTAAAAAGAACACCTTGTTTTTACACACATTGGCATGGCCAACTTGACAGCCCAACCCAGCTGATATTTTCGCGCAATGGCGATGAAAGGGGATGCCCTGCCCTGCCCACTGACTGAGGATTCTTGTGCGACGCGGTCAGGGAAGTGATGTTGTCAGTGCGATCAGGCAGGGAACATTTGCGTGGGAAACATTGCACTGGAAGTGTAAATTTCGTATGAGGGGTAGAATATGTTCGACTGAAAAGATGAGAGCAAATGGTGGTGTACTACATCAGAACAAGCAAGACTCGACAGAACTTAGAACCAACACAGAAATTGTAAACTAAGAATGGACTAAAGACTCACCACCGACCATCATCAGAACAGGCAAGACTCGACATAGCAAACAATCTACAAGCAACCAACCATCTTGCAATGAAGCACACAACACACATGTTACGGTATTGACAACACACAAGAACCTGATTGGCTAGCACTCTCCGCATGTTTCAGCGCCGCTTCAAAATCCCCAGTCACCACTTCCAATTCCACATCCTCATCGATCCGCACAGCCATCCGGTTGGGAGCGGTAACCAGGTAACGGTCCTTGAGAGCCTGCAACTCCGCAAGCACCTGCTGCATGGAGGGGCGCGCAGTGGTGCGCATGTTGGTGCAGGCGAGGGCGAGGTGGGCCAGGGCGACGAGCAGGGCAGGCGGGGCGTCCAAGCTGGGATCGGCGAATCTTGTTGCCACTTGGTTGTCATTGCCTCCCTGCTCCACCCGTGCTGCCACCCACTGCTTTAAGTTGAACGGAGCCTCCTCCTTTCCTTCCTCCTTTTCCTCCTCGCCACCCGTTGCTTTCCTCCCCGTGACCAGCGCCAGCACCACCACCCCGAAACTGAGCATAGGAGGGACCAAGGCATTAGGAGACACAATGAAGGCAGGTTCACATTATTGAGACCACCGTACTGATCCTGGTAAGTTCCGATAGTTGACATCTGACAAGGGAGATGGGAAGGGGGTAATGGAAGAAGCTACAGCGCCCGCAGCTGAATGAGAACACTCAGGGCTTATTCCCACTCCGTATAGTTCACATCGCTGAAGGTTTAGTAACTGAAGCATCTAACCCGTCTAGAACAAGTACAGACGTCCTAACACGTTGGCGACACAAAGGGCTGACATGACAGCGCATTAAGATTCACCCACCATGAATGAGACGGCCGCGCCAAACGCAAGGGCCCACCGCTTCAGCACCGTTTCTAGATGCACATTGCAGGATCGATATGCAAGGCTTACCTGTACACATCGACAGCCGGAGTGGCCTTCTGCGACCTCACATAAGCCGGGTCCATGTATCCCGGTGACCCCATCACCCGCGTTGCCATCACCATGGTGCCCTCGCCGCACCGCACAAGGCCGAAATCAGCGACCTTGGCTTGCATGTTGGCGTCTAGAAGAATGTTGGCGGGCTTGATGTCCCGATGTACCATGTTGAATGAGTGTAGGTATTGGAGACCTCCGCACACTCCTAGTAGGATGTTCATGCGCTCGCGCATGCTCAGTGGCCGCGGCGCGGCTGGAGGGAGGAACAAGCACAGAAGTGAAAAGAGATTGGGGAATGGAGAAGAGAGCGAGTGTGCGAAGGAAAGAAAAAGAGTTGTAGTAAAACACGTGGGGAGGAATCTCAAGGGGTGAAAATTAAGATGATTATTTGTCAATTGGCTCATGCCGCATGCTTGACTGCCAACTCCACCACCGCATGCCCCCATGCCCCATGCCCCATGCCAGCCGCACCTTTGCCGATCCAGTGGTCGAGATCCTTGCCAGCCATGAACTCATACACCAGGATCTGCTCCATGCGCCGCCTGGACGAGCCATAGCACACGCCGTACCCCAGCAGCCGCACCAGGTGCGCGTGGTGCTTCGATCCCATCGCCTCCACCTCCGTCTGAAAGTCATTCGACAGAAACTTGGCGCGCTTCACCGCCCACACCTCCCCGGTTTGAGGATCCACTCCCCTGTACACGTCTCCAAACGCCCCGCTGCCCACCAGGTTTTGCTCTGCCCAGCCGGCTGTTGCTCGCTCCAGCTGCTTCAGAGAGAATTCCTAACACACCCCGGTCACCTTGCTTCCCTTGCTCGTTCGTAGACTCAGCAGCGCTCCACCGGACTTCAGCCCGCCGCCCATCGCGCCTGCAGCAGTGCTGGTGGGATCGGTCAGCACGACCTGCTCTTTCTGGTTCTGGCGGTGGCGCCAGCAGAAGCAGAAGAGGAGCAGAGCCAGCAGCAGCAGAGATGCGATGGTTCCGACTGTGGCCCCTGCGATTACTGCTGGCGGCACAGGCGCTGGTGGTGGTGCTGGTGCTGGTGCTGGTGCTGGTGCTGGTGCTGGTGCTGGTGGTGACGACGCAATACCTGGTGTTGCAAGGCAGAGGGGACGGGTTGTGTTGTGAGACACCAAGGGAGGAGGGAGAGAGAGGGTGGGGTGAGACATGGAATGGGCAGAGAAGCAGGGGAGTGAGATGAGGCAGAACACGGAGGCAAGGGATAGGAGGGAGGGATGTGCCATGTGCAATGAGACGTGCGTGCAGTAAGGTAACGAGAAACTATAAACGACGCTCCATTGCACCCTCCTGCCTCGCCTCGCGATTGCACCCCTCTGCCTCGCGATTGCACCCCTCTGCCTCGCGATTGCACCCCTGCCTTACCAGTGCATGGCCCCGAGTAGCAGGAACCACCGCAATACGCATCTGTGCTGCCACACTCCCAACAGTAGCCACTGGAACGGGGAGAGCAGGAGAAAACAAGAAAAAATAGAAGACAGGAGAAGGGCCTGGTGCGCTGATGAAGGTGGGGGTGCAAGGGAAGGGAAGGACATTGTTCGGCATGTGACATGACGCGCACCAGCAATATGCTTGGTAAGGGAAGGAGGAGGTAAGAAAGAGCTTTAGCACCATCACCATCACCATCACCATCACCACCATCACCGTCACGATCAGCGCACGCACCTGCAGCAGAGGTTGTCCGGGCACAGCTGGTCCAGTGAACATGTGATATTCTGCGCGCGGCAGTGCAGCGGCAGGCGCGCAGCGAGCAGCAGGAGGAGGAGGAGAACGAAGGGGGCGGGGAGGCGCGCGAGGGCGAGAGGAGGCAGAGTGCGGTGCATGATGCGATGAAAGGCCGTTGCAACCATCTTCCCCGCCCGTTCTCAGCGCGCTCCTCAACGCCAAGAGACGACGTGAGACGACGTGAGACGCCGAGAGACGTCGATCTTGCCTTCGCCTGTGCGCTGCGAATGCCTTCGCGTGCCGCGCGGCCGTGGTCTTGGTTCTGCTGTGCGCCGCTGCTGCAAGACGCGGCGCGTGTGTGAACCACCCCCGAGCTGCCGCTGCCTGTCTCAAAGATCAGAACGGTGCCGACACTCGAATCCGACCTTTGAGACGCCTCAAAAGACGCGACGCGCGTGTGGGAACCACTCCCGCGCTGCTAGACCCTGTCTCAAACAACCGAACGGTGCCGACTCTCGATTCCGCACCTGCCGCCTTTCCGCCTGTCGCGCTTGTCTCGGGAACGGGACGCTGAAATTTCTAGGGATCTGGAAACGAGCGAGCTGCTATATTTTCTAGGAAGCTGGGAACGCGTGTGAAATCGGGGGTTGCGTGCGGGCCTTGATGTTTCAGGAGACGCGCGTGGGTTTGCGGGTTGATTTCGAAAAGGAGTGCGGTGCAATGTGGTGCGTTGCAGTTACGGAGCGGCACAGCACGTCGCGGCGGCGTGCGTGGTAGTAGTAGTGTGCGCGCTCCGATGGCCGAGGCGTTTGCAACTACTTGCCCTTGTATCAGTTATTGTAATTTTCTTGAATTTCTCGAACCACCCCGAAGACTCGAAGTGATGTAAGCAGCACTCGAGACTCGAAGTAGGAGAGACAGTGGCACCGACGCAATGCACGCCGCGCACCGACGACTGATGGCTGATGCTTGTGGGAGACAGTTGGACCAAAGAAGAACGTATCGGACAAGGAGTCGGCGGAGCAGGAGGGTACCAATAATGGTGGCGGGTGAAAAAAAGAATGAGCGGATTGCTTGCTGGGCTGGAATTCACAGGAAAAGGAGGCTGGCCGGCCTTTGCTGCGACATAAGTTACACCCCGCGCCGCTGTTGCGATGCGACACCATGACGGACGGACAGCCTGCGACGGCTCTCGATGTCTTGCGACGACTGATGAATACAGTGTGCTGCACGGAATCGAGACGGCGCGCCTCGCGATTATTGAACTGGTCAGACATTCTTCGAGCTGAGGGAGCAGCGGCGGCAAGCGAGTGATAAGGGAAAGGAGATGGGATGGGAGAGCGACTAGGGTAGGAGGGGCTTGGAAGGAGAGGGGAAGGGTCTGAGCGGGAGGGAGAGCAGAGAGGTCCGATCCGAAACTAGACTGCCGTGGTGCCTTGCCGTACGGGGGACGGGGCGGGATGGTATTGAATGGGTGGGGTGAATGGGTCGGGGATGGGTTGGGATGGGATGAGATGGGATGGGATGAGATGGGATGGGATGGGATGGAATAGAAGACGAGTGCAATGGATGGGGGTGGCTGGCGGGCTGCTGAGTTTGTCACGGTATTTGGAAACGCAATTTGGTCGCGCAGTTACGTGAATGCTGTCCTTGTTCAGAATACACCGATGGTCAATTGCCTCGTTTAAACTACTGTTGTCACACACAATACTAATAATAAAAGAACAGAACAGAAAACACAAGGTGAACCATCGGAAGGCAAGAATTAGTCTGGTTTCATTTCTGCACGGTGGGGGTTGAACAACAATGACGGAACAATCAAGGCCGCCATGGCTGCCATCAGGGACTTCGGAGCTCTCAATGTCGAGGCTCTGCTATGTTGCAAGCTCCAATAAGCACATCTTGAGATTCGCCTTTCCACGGGGAACGCAAGGATACATTTTTTATGTCAAAACAGCTGACATTGGTTCCTTCTCCCTGAAAGCATCTACTCTCAAGGCTACGGGAGCTAACATCAATGGCTACTCCTAAGGCATTAACAAGGTTGGCGTTATCACAAGCGAGTCCTGAGGTCCATTGTTGTTACCCTGGCAACGTGTTCTACCAGGCTGCGCTGCTGTTAAGGCTGATCAGGCTCACTTCGTCAGCTATTTTAAGACGCTCAGTTTCGCTGGTTTCCCAGCATTACATTGGCTATGGTGGTTATTTCATCATCACGTCATGCCTCCGAAAGGAAAGCCTGCTAAGCCCGCTGCTAGAATGGATCCAGTTGCTGCTGTTGTTCCCGCGGTACCCACGACTCCAGCTCCTGTGGTTACTCGTCCGGTTTCTGTAACTGCTGTCCCTCCGAAATCTACGCGTGCGCTCTTCGCTGAGGAAGAAGCGTCCGCGCTTACGCTCTCCGCCAAGCTTGCCGCGATCCGGATTGAGCAAGCTGCAGGAGGGGAGAAGGAAGCCGACAATGGCAAGAAGAAGGATGCGGTTTTTAAGGATGCGGTCTCGAACGATCCAGGAGGCGACCCTGCTGACGAGGACGAAGGGGAAGCCTCAGGCTCCGGTCCGAGCTACGCCTTCCTGAACGACGATGACGATGGCCTGATCGCGCATGATCCCAACGAGGGTTTCGAGGACAAGGCGAAAGGGGAGCTTGCTGCAAAGCTGAAATTTCCGCTTACCTTGTTGGTTCCTAACGAGCACATGCAGGAGTTACCATTCATGGAGGCGACGGTTAAGGGCCTGTTAGTGCTCTCGAAGCTTGATCTTACGGAGAATGCGGCTGTGACCACTGAATGCCAGGAGCTGACGCCAGCTTACCTCTCCAAGAAGCTATTCGGTCGCCTGCAAGTCACTTTTGTTAATGCTGCTGACGCGAACTTTGTTTGGCGTCATG